GTACCAGTCGCTAGGACTGATTGTTTCCATGAATTTTTGGTTTTCTTCATTCTTCTTGGCTCTGGATGAGGAGAGACCCATCGTTGCATCTAGATGGCAGCTGCAAACTTTAAGATCTCAGTTGCTACTCGCCACAGTAGGAGGTGGAACAATGTTTTGTGTAGTATGTTATGCCAGTTGAGCTTGATAACCTCTGTGACTATGGTACCAAGCCCACAGATTCAACTAATCGGTCCCTCTGCGTAGCTGGCTGTGACCTAACAGTGACTACAACCTTGCCCCTTGTCAGCCCCATTATACACCTTGGAATTCAGATTATACACATAAAGTTACTGGACCACTTTCTGCCAACCCTATACCTGTTCTTGGGTGCACTCTCCACTTCATATAAATACCTAATATTTCAGCCTGTCCACCCATCTATCCAACCATATACCCGTGTTTGCCTTCACTAAGCACGCCGTATTATATGTGCAAAAGGGTTCATCTTTGTTGTCTGTACTTCACACGTGCCTCTCTATGTCTTTCTCTTCCTCAATGCCACTATATTGATCACTCACATTTGGTACATTGCCCTTGTCTTCACCCAAATCAAAACTTATCTCTATCAATCTAACAGTATTCCCTCCCCTCCTCTCTCAACCCTGGTAACCAACAAAGAAAATGGTCTTCCACAGATAAACGTTTCCTTGACTATTACAATAATGGACTAATACAATATTTGTCATTTTGTGATTGACTTATTTCACTCAGCATAATGTCCTCCAAGTTCATCCATGTTATACAGTGTTTTGCAGATTCTACATTATTCTTTAGCATTGCCCTCCAAGTTCATCCATGTTATGCAGTGTTTTGCAGATTCTACATTATTCTTTAGCATTGCATAGTATTCCATTGTGTGTATATATACCATAGTTTGGATATCCATTCCTCAGCTGATGGACACTTCAGTGTAGTAAATTACTTAGTATGGCTTTTCTACCCATAAGTTATTTTAAACTCAGTGGTGGAATGAGCAACTGAGGAGCTACTGATTGTAAATATTATCCACCTGGGTTATTTCTGTTGGGTATAGCACAAGGCAATGTTATGGGAGGCTCACTCTCAAGTGCTTAGAGTTCTGATTCTGTGATTGGCTATTTTGACCACTCTGCTGGGCTCAAAAGGAGGCCTCCTAGAGGCAGAACTCTCTCTGACTGCTGGTTGAGGACGACGTGCAGCTGAAAGAGACATGTGCTCCTGAAAGAGACACGTGCTGCTGGGAAAGAGATGCAAGAGAGACACGTTGCTGAGTAAGACACCGCGGGACATGCACTGCTGGGGGAGAGACTGTGAGAGACTTGGCTGAGAGATGGTGGGCTGGGAGAGAGACTGAGCGTTTTTCCTGAACTTGAATTGTAGCCTGTGGTGCTTCCCTAATAAACCCCATAATCTGTGAG